GCCCCGTCCACCTGCTGCCAGGCCCCGTCTAGGAACTGAGGCCCCACCGCCCCGCCTGACCGTCCGCCCCGCCCTCAGGTCCACCCGGCGCCCCGCCCCGCGTGCCGCGCGCTGCTGTCCGACCGCGGCTCCGCGGCGCTCATCGTGTCGGGATTCCTCTCGCTGCCTCCGCTGCTGGTGCTCGCCTTGGCCGCCCGCTCCCGCCTGGCCCGACGCCTCCGCTCGCTGCTGCCGCCCCCGACCTGGAGTCCCGGACCCCGCCGCCACCCCGACGGGGAGGAGCAGCTCTAAGCCTGGGGATGACCCCAGAGGCCTCTCCAAATCCCGGAGGCCCCCGAACTCCCCCCGTGTCCCCCATCGGTGGCTCCAGGCTGGTGAGCTCAGGGTCCGCGTCCAGGTCCCGGCCGGGAAATCCCGTGCGTGCCGCGCGGCCCCGTGCGCAGTGCTCCGAGGGGCCGCGAGGTGGCACCGGACTCCCCCGGACCGGGGCGGCCCTTCTCCACCCTCACCGGCCTGCGCAGTCACCGCAGCCGCCGAGGCGCTGGGACGCCCCCAGAGAACAGGGAGATGGCTCTCGGAGAAGGGGCGCGTGGCCAGGCTCGGAGAGAGGCGGCCTTCCTGGCTTCTGCCACTGTGGCTGTCCTGGGCTCCTGTGCCCCGACAACGGGCAGTCCTTGCGGGCCCCCTGTCTGGTCCGGCAGCGGCCTCCAGCGAGTCCCAGAGGTGGGGAGACTTCCACGCTCCACGTTTCCAGAACTTCAGCGGCCAGAGCACTAGGGCGTGCAGGGCTCAGCCCGAGACCCAGGTCAGCGTTTAGAGTGAGGGCTCTGTCTGTTCTCTCTGGATAATTTTAAGATCTTTTCCGTCTTTTGCTCTCTGTGCTTTTAAGCATGTTTGTGGTTGTGGCTATGTTCTTATTTATCCCCTCGGTACACACGGTGTGTCCCGTTTCACATCTTTCGGCAGTTCTGGAGAATTCTCAGCCATTATTTCTTCAATTCTGTCTCATTCATTCTACACATTCTCGCTTGGGAAACACCTATTACGTGAACGCTTCCCATTGTGCTTTTACCACTCATGTCAGTTCAACTCTCTTCTGTGTTTTCCATCTCCTTGTCTCCCAGTGCTGCGTTCTGGGCAATTTCCTCATCTTCCTCTTTGAGTTCACTGAGCACTAGCTGAGTCTAATCTGCTGATTATCACATCCATTTAACTTAAATTATTATGTCACCCTATCTAAAAGTTACACTACTCACTTATTCAAATCTGATGATTTTGATGATCTCTTGGTGCATATGCTTGTGATTTGGGTTCCAGCTTTGACTTCTGGAACATTTCACACATAGTTGTTTCTTTTTTTTTCCTTTTAATTATTTATCTTTTGACAGTGCCCTGCGGCATGCGGCATCTCAGCTCCCCAACCAGGGATCAAACCCTCACCCCCTGGGTTGGGAGCATCGAGTCTTAACCGCTGGACCGCCAGGGAAGCCGCACACATAGTGATTTTACAGACTGTACCTAACAACTGCGCTCCCTTTGCCTTTGGGGCTCTAAATCTGTTATTTGTTGTTTCTGCTGACTCAGTAACAGCATATCGTTTCTTTGAATGTTTGTACTTGTTAAGCATCAGCCCACACCTGTGAACATTCTGAGGCCACGTCCCTCCACAGAGGATGCCCTTGTGAGCCGTGACCAACCTGGGCCCCCGTCAGGGCCCTGGTTAGTACCCCACACTGTGCAGGGCACCGTCACTGCGGCCCTGATGCAGTGTGGCTCTCCATCCCTGTGCTCAGGGCATTCTCTGCTTTCCCCTTTGTTTCCATTCGTCATCCTGGGTTCTGTTCCCTCTTCTTTTGTTTATTTATGTACCTCTTTCTAGCGTTTCCTGGAGGGGAGGGAGCTTGGAAGATATCTACTGCCTTGTAAGCCCAGCAGTGTATTAAAAATGTGTTTGTTGAGGGCTTCCCTGGTGGCGCAGTGGTTGAGAGTCTGCCTGCCGACGTAGGGGACGCGGGTTCGTGCCCCGGTCTGGGAAGATCCCACCTGCCGTGGAGCGGCTGGGCCCGTGAGCCATGGCCGCTGAGCCTGCACGTCCGGAGTCTGTGCTCCGCAACTGGAGAGGCCACAACAGTGAGAGACCTGCGTACCGCAAAAAAAAAAAAAAATGTTTGTTGTAATTCGTCCAGAATCTAGTAATAGCTGGAAGGCCTTGGAAAGGATCTAGCACACCATGTGGCCAGCAGGGCTCCACCTGTGACCAGGAGGTCAGGGCCCAGATGTGCCCAAGGATCAGCGCTCAGGGCTCATTCGTGGCTTGAACAGGGCCCGAAGTGGGGCTGACTCAGGTCCAGCAGGAGTCCTTGGCGTTTTCCTATTGTCTGTGGCCGGTCAGATGGGAGCCCGGCTGGCTGCCCCGTGCCCGAGGAGAGCTTCCCCGGTCCAAGGCCACCTTCCTTCCCCTCCCGCCTAGGGTTGGGCAGGCTCTGGCCAGGCGTCAGAGGACTCTGCTGAGGATCCGCCTGGCCCTAGAGTCATCAAAACAACAGCTGGACCTGGTGGGGGCGGGGAGGCCACCATGGGGAGCTCAGCTGCTGAGCCCACTGGTTTCTAAGGTGTGTCCCGGCTTCCCAGGCCTGCCCAAGCCCCGCGTGGCCTCCAGCTGGCCTCGGGGACAGTCTGCCTCAGCTCCAGCTCTTCCCACCCACTCACAAAAGGAATACTTGTGGGAGGCTGTGGAAGGTTGACAGAGGAGCCTAGGGGTCTGCTTTAGGGGGCCAGCCATCAGGGAGGATGGTAAAGTGGAAGGTAGAGGCCCTGAGCTACTGGGTGGGTCAGAGGTGACCTCCACTTTGGGCAAAAAATTTCTCTTTCTGCAAGTACCCAGGCCCCTGCCCCGAAAGAGCATGCTTGGCCATGGGGGTGCACGTGCACGCGCGTGCCTGTGTGTGTGTGCGTGTGTGTGCATCGTGTGTGGGTGTACACGTGTGTGCATGTCAGGGCGTGCCTGCATCCCCTCTGTCTGCCGGCCCTCACACCCCTGGGGGGGCACTGTCCAGACCCCACAGGTTTAGAGTCTGGGCTTCGCAAGGTTCCCTGATCTGCTCAAGGCCACTTATTGATTCACAAAGCATTTCCTAGCAGCCCAGGTGTCTGCAGGCACACTCTGAGTGGTGAGCAGCTAGGCAGGGCTAGGAGAGCCGGCCCGTTCTGTCCCCACGGTCTATACCCCAGGTGTGAGCCCGGCCCCACCCAGGCATGTGGGCCATGCAAGGGGTGCTGGGCAGAAACAGCTGTGCTGGGTGGGCTGGGGAGGAACAGGCAGAGCCAGCCCTGTGCTGACTCTGGGGACTGAGGCCCCACCCCCTGCCCCATGGTCCCACCCCCACCCCGGGGACTCCCCCCAACCAAGGTGCTGACACAGTTCTGTCCCTCCCTGCTCTCTC